AAGTTTTATAAGTTAATTATTTTAAAATAGTTAGCTTCAGACAATCATTGCTTATTTCGTCAAAAGAAATTGTAATTTCTGAAGCCCGAACATGTTAGGAGCAAGTCAGTGACTCACTAATATTGAAGGGTACGCTACCAACTGACTGGAATTGTAAATGTAAGCCATTGTATTTTTACTGAGAAATATAAACGTATTATACTCGTCGTATGATCCGTAGTTTATGCCTGAGTTGGATTATGTTTGCGCACTGTTGAAAATCATCAGATAACGTCAATTCATGAACAAAACTATCTTTAAACTAACCAAACCTTCACGAACATTCTGTCTACAAAATTATGACAGTTTATTCGTCAACTGAAGAAAAAGTACCTAAATCAGTCACAAACAAAGTGAACCGTGCTTCGATACATAAAATGTTCACTTTCTCATCAATTTTTATTCTATGTTTGTCAGTCGATAAGCTTTACGACTTACATTGCTAACTGACCATCTAATGATTTTTAACGACCGTTCATTAATAATCAGATAGTGATGTACAATCACAATAACCAAGCGAAATGCAAAAACTTCAACATCAGAGTTATGAATAAATAAATTTGTGTCTTAAGTAACATTTAATTTTCATTTGAGATTAAAATAGTGTGGTGTTTGTATGAACTAATGATTACTTTGTGCTTGATGACTGCTTGATTTCGAATTCCAAATACACTACGTTCTTTCATGTTCATATTGTTCTTCTTGGTTAAATTGCGTTATTTCTGTGATTTCTAATTCGTACAATAACTCATATACTCCCAATTATCACAAATAGTTAAATATTTATTGAAAAACGTTCACATCATGTTTTACATACAAATGTTTCAAAATGTTTTTAACAAGGAACTATTTCGACATTAGTACTAAATGTTTTGGTATGCAGACTAATAGATATCAGTAGTTATATACTATATATTATCGAAAACTTACCTTTCATTCAACAAATAGGACGATTGAAAGAGTTAATTAAACTAATGTTAGCTGATACGTTTCATGAACATTGCGCATTCAACAAGAAAATGTCATTTACCTTACAAATTCTTTCGTTTATAATAACTTTACACATGATTAATTTTGCCTAATCTTTTTCATTTAAAATACTTACTTAATGTGTACCTTATGTTTTAGGACTTTATTTAGTATCATGGATTGAACATCACGTAATGCGGTAAACATTTTGAAGATTGACTTTTAAAATTTCTTATAAACAATATATATCATACAGATATGTTAAAGATAAATTGCTATATTAGTTCCCATTGTTGTGTACCAACCAGTTTACTTTCCTTTGTGAAACGGATTTTATTGATTTTACGTAGTAACCTATTTTTAATTTAATCTCTTTATCCAAAACAGAACGCAAGTTACTTAATAGGTTAATTCTTGAACATCTAATCAATTTTGGTCATGTAACACAATTAGAAATATCTTTGGAGATTCTGAAATAAAAGTCCAAACACTTTGGTATATAACGGATTGTGAGTCAGAAATGAATGTAAATTATAGCTTTTGACAAATTACCAACTTATAACCCTGTATTTAAGAACAATAAACCAGGTTCTTCGTTTCACCATGATCTTAATCCTTTCCACTCTTTAAATATTTTCTATTTGTTCAACTGATACTATCACTTATTTGTTTCATTTTCACCTTCTTTTTGGTTTAGTGAGCAATCAGCATTCAAACTTTTCATGTGTACATTATTCCCACTGTTTTCTGATTTCATTACTCTTTAAATCAATAAGGTAACCTTTCTGTCTGATAACTGGAATTTTCGGACTTTTTTTACTGACGTAATATCAATCTATTTTTCAATATTTTGTTGTGTACATTGAATAGATACAACACTAACTGTACAAATTTAACATGTGATAATGAATAGATATTTTCCTTCAAATTAGCCTTAAATATTTTCATCAATATATGACAGTTAATACTATCTATATCGAAGATAAGAAAAAATCTGTAAAAAAAGAAAACTAATTCACTTCATTCTTTAAATAATATCCCAATTCCTTTATGAAAGTTGATTAGTGAAAGTAAATGTATAAAATTGCACGTTTTACATAAGATGATATTGGAACAGAATTTCTAACACAGTTTTCATTTGAAATACAATTTACAAGAAAATTTTTATGTTAGATGTCAAAGGTGCTGTAAGATATGAAATAATTTCATGAGAAAATTTTAATCATTATGCCTATAACGGAAAATCTTATTATAAAACGTTAATAACACTAGGATTAAAAATCCTTTACATAAAAGACGAACAAAATAAGTACTGAGATGGTGGAGAAGATTTGTAGCTCAGGTAGATGATTTTGATGGAGTTTTGTTCTCTAAGCCAGATGGTTTGATAATGGAGCTTTTATCGTTCTTCTGAACGACATTATCAGCACAAACTTCAGATAGAAGTGAAGTGTTCGAATTTCTCCATATGCGTTTCATGGCTTGTTTTGTACACCTCGATGTTGATTGGTTCTTATTGACCAAAAATCGAACCAATGGGAAACATAACCAAAACAAAGAAGTAAACAATGACAAATTTAAGTAAGTACTCTTTGATTCTTATAAAGCACACTTTGTTACCATGTACCTTGGCGGGGGGGTGAGTTAAAGACATAAGTTGAATAATTTAACAGTAATCTAAGTAATAGACTTACCCTTCACAGAGATTTTTATACAAACTTTAAAATTTATTTTACGCATCAACAATAACCTTGCATCGATTTGAAATAATATTAGGTTAAAACAAAAGATGATGATATAAGAATTTATACAACTTTATTGTTATCGAACTTTAACTGGCAACAGAACAAATGAAGTACACTATAGCAAAATATGCTATCAGCCTTTTTTAAGTGAAAACGGGTTCTTATCTTGGTCAGTGAAAATTCCTTAACACTTAAAAATACATAATAAACAACCATTGTTAACAAAACTTTATTCTTAGACTTACAATAAGATATCGAATATCTTTATCTTAATTCTAAGTACCGGACACTAAGACAAAAAAACGGTTTATGAACTCATATAAATAGTCCTTTACTGCTGATATTACCGAATGTAAATGGGGATAGATGAAGTTTTCAATTCAATAAAAAGGGAAAACTTTGGTGCATACCTTAAAAGTTTGATTTTTGTTATCAATCATTTTTTATTAAGGTATTGCAGTACTTTACAGCCAAAAAGAAGACCGATTGTTGAAAGAGCTGGTTTGACTATAGTCACTGAGTGGGCATTTTGTAAAACAATCAGCATTCAAAATAGCAAATGAAATATAAAATGATCTAATATCGTTAGTCAAAAACAAAGTTTGCTTTATGACATTCTTATTTTACAACTCTAGCTGATAAATCAAAATAGATTTAGCTGATCTTAAATAAACAAAATAGTACAGAAGCCTTTTTATGATCAAGCTAAAATATATCAAGCCTAATAAAATGATATAGTCTATGAAATAATTTTGGAAAAATCTTTTATTATTAAAATTATATCAATGCCGAAACTCATTGATTTCAATGTTATAGATAACTTTAGGTTGCAACGTGATAGTGTGGGTACAATTGTGTACGTTCATATCGTTTTGCTTAGTAGATTTTACTAAAAGTTGAGTATTCAGTTTTATCAGTAAACTCAATACTTCGACTTTAAAATTTAATTCATAATTACACGAAAAAAACACAGTACTTGAAATTAAAGTTGGCACCATTGCATATAATAAATTCAGTAAAGATTAAGAAAAATGTAGACACATTATTCATTTTAATTTTTTTTATATATACATTCTGTCAAATGATTTCTAAATCGATAATCGTCCCTTTAGTTGGTTATTACATTTTTAAAATTACAAGTCATTCAATTATAATGGTGACTGTCAAATACATATTACATGAAAGTCATTACAGGGAAATTAACCATTAGAAAATATTTTTAAAGGACAATAACTTTTGGAGTTTTTGTTAATGTTCTCCTTAGTTTAAGTTGGTCTACAGTTTTCATAAATAGCTTTGATGGTGATGAGCATTTGATGTCATTTAATAAGTGTTTATTACTTACTACTCCAAAATGTGGTATATATACAAATTATTTAACGACTATTATGGAATACGTATGTTGATTTGAAAACGTTCAGAATTTTATTTCAAATTCTATTGAGTCAAAAATTACTTGTGATAACCTGACAATACTATTTAATATTAAGCACATCTTAACAATTAAGTCACTAAGAAGTTAGCAACAAGTAGTAAGGTTATTATGTGATTCTTTAAAAAAATTTCAAAATGACCATTCAGAACATCTTAATGTAAAACAGTTCTAAAGTGTTGATATTGTGATTATTTATTGGTCAGTAATAACCACTGCTTTTCGCTTCGTTTTCAGATGATTTCAATAGTACTTGAATTATTTACAATGAATTACTATTTCATTATTGAATACAGTTATATATATTATATGAATATTTGTCAGAATTTGAGTGAATAGTTCGACAGAAACTTGATGCCAAGTATTTAGAAGAAAATCAATATAAAAATTGTATTTGAATAATCGATTGTATTCCCCTTGGAGAAATTCACATCAGATTACCGGAGGAAACATAGGAATTATTTGTGATTCAATCACTGAAACTATTCAAATACAATTTTCATAGTTATATATTGTTCATAAGATGAATTTCAAATGAAAATAAACACATATGCAGCACTTAAATCCATCCTTTTTGACTTCTCAGATAGGTATTTACTGAATTACTTATGGTAATGATGCCTAAAAAAATTTATTGAAATAAATTACTACAGTGAATTAATGAATGAGGCTTGGATTACATAATAAAAACATACAGGTCTATTTCTATGATGATTAATTAATAACTAGTTTTGAAATGACTTTCTCACTTTCATAAATAAAAAATATTTTTGAAATTTTGCAAAATATTTTAAAATTTTTACAAAATAAATTACCTCATTTTTATTTTCTACAAGAACTTGATCATATTCATTTAATGCACTTAAAAATATAATAGAAGTTACACTTTCAAAGGAATGAATCCATTTTCTTCGTTCTGATCTTTGACCGCCCACATCCACAATCCTTTATTATAATTTTAAACACAAGATAATTCTACAAGCACTAAGGATTAAACAAATACTCATTGGTTAATCAGTTTCATACATGGAGTTTATAATATTCTATGCAGTTAAAAGATAGAGTCTTAATTCAGAATGTTATAACAGTATGATAAGCAAATATTATTCTTTTCATTCGATATAAAAATTTCTTTTGATACATAACAGTAAATACATTTGAATTCACTTGGTATTGTTTGGCTTGTATCTTCCTATTGAGGTTTAAGACTGCAATTAATCAATCTGTTATTGGCATATGTGCATACTGTGCGTATGCTTCGATATTGCCTTAATTCACAAGCTTTTTGTAAGCAATGATGGATAGTGGCTAGTAGTGGAATACAAGCCGAACAATACCAAGTGAATTTAAATTCACCCCATCGCACAAGCAAGTGGCTATTAGGACACAGTAGCTCAGTGGATAGCGCGATGGCGTTTGAAGCGAGTGGTTTTGGGTTCGAGTCCAGGAGTAAACAGCAACTCTGAGATGCAGGCACACCCAGCTGATGAGTCCCAAATAGGACGAAACGCGCATCCTGGATTCCACTGCTAGCCGCTATCCATCATTGCTTACGTAAATACATTTGGTTTCAAAAAAACTCCACATTCAAATTATTTAGCTGAGATACCATACGTCTTTTATTTCTTTTCAAAAGCTTAAATCATCATAAAAAGAGGAGGGAATAACAGCAATTGGTATAGTAATAGAATCAGTAATAGTATTAGTAATATCATAAGATACAAATATTGTTAGAACTTGTGACGGTATTTGTAATTCCATTTTCTTTTTAAGACAAAAGTAGTAATAATTTGTGAACTAGTATTCATGTTATTGGAACGTTGAAAAATTTACTCATCTAACGAAATTACGTGCGTAATTGTAATTCAAATTGTATCATTATAGTTTCTTTGTATTCCGTTTGGCAAATAACTAACCGGTAGCAGAAGAATTCGAGAATTTATTAGAAATAACTTAATCCATACATCATCACTGTAAATTGAAGAAACATCGTTGATACAAAGATTTATATATTTTAAGGATAGAAATTAAGCCTTGTTGATTGGTAACAAAGGACTGTTTGATATTTCTAACAACTACACATTTCATTAGAAAAGTGTGACTTCTGAATACTTGTTACAATTTGTTACATTGTTCGGATTCTGTTGTTATGCCATAGAAATGCTTTTATTCTTACTGTGTGAAATCTTAAAGTTTTCAGCCCAGTCATTATTATTTTCTACCAATACTTTCTTTACAACATTTTAACAACTTAAAAACTAACCTGAAAACAGTAGAATCCAAATTGAACGGGTATTCAATTATACCAGTTGTTGGTACACGTACACGTAAAATATCTTGTAGACTTGGTAAATAATCTGGATCAGCTATTCTGTCAAAATTGTTCAAATAGCTAAAGAAAAAGTATAAAAAACTACTTGAATATTTTTGATGACTGGTAACTGAAGTTTTTATGATGGCTATTTTTTCTGATGGGTCACATGTTATTATAATATGTTATAATGATTTGATTTTTTTGTCTGTTTTAAAAACGCTATCTGACAAGAACGTTGAATATTTAGAACTGAAATAAATTAAATATTACTGCTATACCAAATAAGACTGACCATTTAATAAAATTTCTAGATGTATCTCAGGATCCATATCATCAATATAGTAGGGAACTTTTAAAATATCAAGAGGACTAGACAAATATTCTATTTACACTCATTCCTATCAAACAAAAATGTATCCGATTATTCTATTTCTCTCTGGAATAGATGTATTTATTGAGAAGCTTCCATCACAGTGCTAGGTGGGATCATCATCGTAAGCTTCAAAAGCAATGTATGTTTCATTCCCAGCCGAACGTATGTCAGCATTTATCCATGTAGAATAATGTGTCGTGGTATGTATACCTGAATTAAAATCAATTAATGGAAAAATGAAGCTAGTAAGCACATTCTGTTTAGTTAACTTATTTAATTTACTTCTAAGGTGAAAATCTGAAGTCATGATGTGATTTTTGAAATATTTTTTATGTACAAAGTTATTCATGATCTATTTTTATTGATATCTAGTTTATGTAATTTCAATTTTTATTAAAGTAAGAAGACAAAAATTCGTTGGACTTTTTTGCTTGTTTTGACTTGAACAATTTATCTAGGCTCTCAACAATCTAGCCAACTAATGTTAGGAGAGGGTTGTAACATCAAGGTACTTTCGAGTTTTTTTCCATTCTAATGACGATTTACAACATTAGTCATTTTTCGTAAACAGTTTGGATATTATAGAGTCTAATATTTGAATTTTCTTGTAAGTTATCTTGAATAGGTCTTTTTCTGTAAATGGTCACTTAATCGATGCCTGTTTTGCTTCCTTTCATTTTTGCAAACGAGGTGTTATGAACTAAATCAATGTAACCATGTCTAATTTTTATCTGTAAATAGAAAACAAAAAATTAGTTAGAAACATTTTTCGCCAAATATTTTGTATTTTTATGTTTAATTTCGACCGGGCATATCAATATTCTGATCTGATCAATTAACCGTCTGTAATGTTATTTTTCAAAATAGGCATAAGTAACTATCAATAATTAAATCTCAATGACTGGGCACCTTGGAATTTATGAGTTATTTGGGTTATTGTCTAATGTATATCATTTGTCTTTAAACTGTTATTTTTTAGTTACAGATAATCTACATAAAACTAAACGTTTTAACAGTATAATGGTATATTTTTGCCCAAACTAAAATATAATATTATGCAAATATACATCTATATAATCAACTTATGTACCGTTTAGACACCTGTATTCCATATTACTTATTTATTAACTTTTAATTTTGTCTATGATCTCTCATGGTTTAACAAAGTAAACTGAATACATCTACAAGATAGCTAAAAGCAGTTATGAGGAAGCTTGAACTTTACATTTTGTTGTGGTTGGTGTTCCTAAAAGAGGTATAACAGTAATGATGGTGTAACTCATAATTTCGTAACGATTACGAGTGGCACTAAACAGTACCAGGGAGAAAAATATTACTATTGAGCTAACCAGAATAAAATGTAGGATAAAGTTTTCATGGATTTCATCCAAATGACTTACTTTAAATAAGGCGTATCAATCTGTCAATCAACACAACCCAGTGGCTAGATTGTCAACATTATCGATGACATTCAATGAGCAATAGAGATCAGACAACCGGAAGTTAATTATCATCAAGTGATTGGTAAATATAATAAAATACTTCCTCAGTAGTTAAATGAAAGATCAGTCTAAATAATCAGCAATGCTAGATAAATTTAGGCAAAATTAAATATTCAGGAAGTTGAACTATATGCTACTCCATGTGGGTTAATAACATATAAATATGATGTAATTAGGATACTTGGTTATTATTTGAAATCTATAAAAAGAAATTTACATCTGAATGAGAAGTAAAAGCTTTTTTCTTAAATAAATAGTTTAATTTGAGTAACGTAGAAATGATGACTGATTTGTTCAAGTATAAGGATTGTAATGCACATTGTAATGACTTCAACCTAATTTGTTGTTTTATTGTGTTCGAATAGTTGCATGAATAAACATCCATTGCTTATTAATGAGAAAGTAATGATCATATTAAGGGATTCAGACATTTCTTGATTGATAATCTTCAGGGAAAAAATTTAAATAATCATTGCAAAAAATATTATACAAGTTCCATTTACCATAATCTTTATAACTTACTATTTCGATGAGTCGGACAATTGAAATTCTCTTCTACGTTCATAGCACTCTTTCATTCCTTGGTCAGCCCATAACTGACGTATAGCATTGATACGTTCAGGTGTCAGTTCAACAGAATCTTCAAGATCAACTTTTATGATAAGTTCTATATTTTCCTAGTCCCATTTCAAGTGAAAACCAATGAATTTTTGAGTTGTATATATAAGATTTGAGAAGTTAATACAACTCCACAAGCCATCATCATATCTAAGTATGAAATTCTAATGTTGAAATCGGTTTACATTCAACTTGTACATATGATTTACATTAATGTAACATGAATTTCTAATAAAAATCTCTAAAGATTTTCAACCACTCCCATTAGCATTATCGTTCTTATTAGAATTTTATAAAATATATATATGAACTAGAGTATATATTAGTTAGCGAAACCTCTTAAGAGTTGTACTCAAAATGAGTGACTGATTAATTGTTGACAAATTACTGAGTTTACCTATTAAAGTGTTTGGTAAGTGGTTCATATTCACAACAAAACACATGCACAACTTTACACGAGATTAAACTAATGACATTCAGATCTGGCGTAGAGCACCATACTTTTAGATTACTTGTCAAAGTTTAGTGATTCATATTTTCGATTGCAGTCAATTCGCAATATACTCCAACCATCCCTATTATATAACTGCTGTGTATCTGCCATATAGTTTGTTAAAAGTCATTGATAACATTTCAAAACATTTACCTCTTTGAGAAAAAATTAAAGTTAAATTTCATCTTTCAAACGAAATACATTCACAACATAGTTGATTCATTCAGTAATAAACATTATCAAAACTACGTTTTTCTATTATTTATAGGATAAATCATAAGTAAATTTTCATTCACCAAATTTATAACCAAATCGTTTTGTATTTATAAAGTCAGATTTAACTAGTCATTTCATTATTTATTTAATCAATATACAATGAATTAAGACTATTGCATCAACTATAAATATGACACGCAAATAAAAATGGTAACAGTAATGTTAGATATTGAATAATTCCCAGAAAATAATTAACTCCTTCTAATAGTCTATTTGCACAGAAAACATTAATTAATTATTTGTAATAATTTGTAAAACTTCACTCAGAAATACTTGTAAGGTATTTACCAGATACCATAATATGCTAATTAAACGTACAAAACATATGTTCATTACTTTATATCATTCTAATGAAAACATTTTGTTTAAGATGGTAGAGAAGATTTGTAGCTCAGGTGGATGATTTTAATGGAGTTTAGCTCAGATAAATAAAGTCCATCAAAAACTTTGGTGAAACTAAAATTTATGGACGACCTTTGAGCGATACTAGACTGACCTTGAGAGTGTCCACTTAAAAACCAGGACTAAATGAGGTCTATGTACCTGGGTGAGGGATTAGAATTATATTTTACAGTTGATGATTAAGCTTAAAAATTAGATTTCGGGTTGTCATCACGAACTGACATCATCTATCATGCCAAAATTCTATGTGTCTAAATGGATGCGTGCATTTAGCGCCAAAATCCAAAACCTGTTATCTTATACGTGATTTTTTCGTTCAGAAATTATAGTCTCACGAAAAATTTTTGTTTACTTTTGAACATTATGCGAATCTAACAAACTAAAAATAAAACTATCTTCTTGATAACCTGTTATTATTAGTCTCTGAAACATTTATTGAATTTACTTTTTTTTCTGATTCATTTAAACATTAAATAATACTTTATTTATTATTTATTTATGTGAACACATTGATATTGGTACAAGGAGGCACCAAATACATATGCGCCACACAAATCTCATTTGATTTGTGCGAGGGCTGTGATACTGCTCGGGTGACCAAACCGAAGCAGATGGTTTTCTCAGAGTGCCACATCCGGAGCCTTCGACCTATAGGTCTGATCCACAAAACAGTGGAGCATCGTGAGGAGATGCAGTCCCATGGTAGCCAGTGACCAACGATTGGTTCATACGCCATTTGTTCCTTCAAGATACTGGAGCCCATTTGCATCATTGGTTTGGAATCAGGGTTTTCCAACTCCCCTAGGTTGACTCTCCGTGTCCACCAACCCGGTTAAAGCGTCCGGCATTCGCGTTTTGTCCTCTCAACTTCGTAAACAACACCCGCGGTATGAGAAGGCAATGAGTAGGATTTCCGTGGCAGCTGCTACATACGTGTGGCCACGTTGAGAACATTTCGAGAGGGAGAGCGGACTCTCCTCACTCTCGGCCGTACCACGGCATTTGGTGGCACTAGTAAAAATATTTTGTAGCTGAGTAGATAGATTATATTATTATGATAAATGATATTGTTAATATTCCTGGTAAAAATTACCTTAAAATATTTTCAAACAATTAGGATTGGTGATTTTATGTAAAAAAAACAAATTATAAACTATGACATTCATAAATAACTTATTTCAACATTTTGATTTTTAACTTACTTGATTTACAGGATATTCTAATTCTATTGAAAGTGCACACAGTGCATCACACATTGTTTGCATGGCTAGAAAGATATTCTGATATACTAAAGTTTTAAAAGCATATTTTTCCATGTCTGTATAACCAGCTCCATGTATAATTCGCATTTGTTTTACAAAAGTACTTTTACCGGATTCTCCAGTCCCTGAGAAAAAAAATGAAAAGACGAAATTGTTTTTTTACGCATTCACAATTCAAATCAGTATTTTAAGCAGTTATTATAATGGATTTCTAGCTGTTTATTTTGTTTTATTAGAATTTCCCTCATAACTTGTCCAGTCAAGATCTTTGGATATAGTACATCTACGGCGTGTAACTTAACTAATAAACATCGCTAATTTCAGATAGATAATTGTTAGTATTACTTAACAGGTGTCGGTATTTACTATGACTACTTAAAAGGAAGGGATCTATTCAAATTAAATAAAGCAGAATTTTCCAATATTTCCATGCAAATAACCTCAATATTTCATGATAATTTTACTACCAAATTATTACTGATCATTAAAAAATGTGTCAAAATTTTGTATGAAAATACAAATTTATGTTACTGTGTTCGATGGTTATTTATTACCATGTTATTTCAAATTTATTCCTTGAGTTTTAATAGACACTACAAAGTTATCTGAATGCTTAAAAAAGAACAGACAAAAATGTAATTGATGATGAGCTAATCTATGATTTAATTATCAATTAACTTTATTTTCGACTTTAATAATAGTTCTCTTACATGTATTCTGTTAATGATTGATTTTTTAGATAATTTAATGTAAAAACTAGTTAACAACTTCGATATAGCTGGACGATTTAGACTTTGGACGCAAACTAGCTCCTCTATCCCATACATAGCAAAAATTGCACGCGAAGAAAGCCAATGAAGCGGCAGTTTCTCCAGAAGTAGGTCTCAGTATTCACAAGGGGAGAAAACACGATCCTAAAATATAACACTGAGAGTGCCAACCAAAGCACACCTGAAAGAGAAGCTCTGGAAAAGGTGGAAACTTGAACATGCCTGGATAGTATCATTGATAATCAAGAGGGATCTGGTGCAGATTTACAGGCTTGAAATACCAAAACAAGGGTAGCGGTCCTAAAATTGAACAACATCTGGAACACGAAAAAACTGAGACTTGGAGAGTCACTACAACCATCGTTAAGGTGGTACAGATATCTATATGCAGTTATCTACGCAGGATGCTCCAGATCCGTTGGCCAGGCATTATTAGCAAAAACATACTTTGGAAGAGAGCCAGCCAGCTTGTAGCCAAGGATAAAATTAGGAAAGAAGACGGAGCTGGAAAATTCAAACTACGGAAGCTATCAAACTGTATCACAAAGCAAGCCCTAGTTTGAAATCTTGAGGGCAAATGGAAAAGAGGAAGGCCAGCAAACAAATTGCTCCAGAAATCGGAAGCAGACATCAAAAGAACGAATAGCACTTGGGAATAACTGAATAAGACAGTACAAGACAAAGTTGGTTAGAGAATCATGGTTGGCAGCCTATGCTCCATGAGGGATAACAGCCATAAGTCAGTAAGTAAACAATGAATAGTCAGAGATCTCTTTAACTTATATTTAAAGTAATGTTAATCTACTGAATCCTTAATTCAAAAAAATTCGTACATATAATATTACAATTCAAATAATTAACTTCATCTAGGTTTCTTCACTAGTAAGTGGTGTAATTATTAACAGGGACTCCTTATTTCATAATAAAAACTTACCAAGTAATAATAATTTCACTTCTTTTCTCCCTGTATTCTTATCTTTATGTAATTGACGTTCAATTTCTCGACTTATTCGTTGTTGTTCTCTAGATTCTTCTGATCGAAAACAAGACATTTTAAATAATAATAGAAACAGATCAAAATTATTATTTTAAGGATCAAAACATTAACCAGTTGACAAGGTATTTATATAAACCTTGATTGAAGCAGATACCAAACATTATTTTCATTCATTGGATGAAAGAAAATAGTAGATCATTAATTTCCTAATAATTTTTTTCTTATTTATTTCAGTTGGACACACCCTTGAGATTAGATCAAATTTGTGTAAATTAGAAATGTGAACAAATCGGCAGATTAGTAGTAGGGTTATTAGTCAGTAGTAGAATATTATTATTATTATCGAAAAGTAATCTGATATGATTTTTACATATACATGTTATTTGTATTTATCATCTCGTTATGTTATCCATTTATCGATATAAAAATATTGGACTGTTTTTAAAAGGAAGCATATTTAAAGTGAATTTAAATGAGCAACTTATATTTTTTCTGTGTAATACTTAAATCTAGGAATTTTCAAGTACATAAACATGATTTTGACAGATCCAGACTAAACAGAGACGAGATATGTATCTATGAAGTTAAATGAATCCTGTTGAATAAAATTAATCAAGTCAGTTCGAAATATCATAATTGTGAAGATGAGAAAGTTAAGATAATATTTACTTTTGTTTATACTTTATAAGCCCCAACCTTTACATGGATAAAATTAATTTCTAATTTTGATAATTATACTTAGAATAATCACCTTCTACATGTTATTTTTGTTAGTCAAATTAACACTAGCTATTATCAAGGGGTGAAATCAGTTTAAGAATCATAGAAATTTGACGAGGATTGAACACAAGATTTCATGAGAACTCTCAAGGTTCTAGTTAGAAGCAGTGATCGGTGAACATTGATTGTATTAGAAATGTAAGGATTTTTAGTGATGACTATCAATAATCGTAACATTATATCATAAGATTACTGAGGCTGGAAACGTGACCCGTCAATTTCGTGATTTGAAGGTATTGTATTCATTTGGAAACATTTAGGTTCTGAGTTTGATCCTGTAAAAATTTGTCTACGTGCATAGATGTGGTCTCAAAGATTTAAACAATGTTTCCCCGTTTTTTATTATCTAACTGATGTTTGTTCGTTACCAAAAATGCCTTGATGTTCAAATTAAATTAACTTTAGATGACTGAGTGAAAATATTCACCTAGATATGAACAAACACTGTTCATTAACTCAAACAACTGTTTAGAGGGATATTACTTGGTTACTTACCTGCGCCTGTTACTCCTAATGAAGCATAGGCCGCCGACCAGCATTCTCCAACCCACTCTGTTCTGGGCCTTCTTTTCTAATTCCATCCAATTCTTGTTCATTTTTCTCATGTCTATCTCCATTTCCCGGCGTAACGTGTTCTTTGATCTTCCTCTTCTCCTCCTTTGGCCTTGAGGATTCCATGTGAGAGCTTATCTTGTGACGCAGTTGGGTGCTTTACTCAATGTGTGTCCTATCCACTTCCAGCGCTTCTTCCTGATTTCTTCCTCCGCTGGAATCTGGTTTGTTCTTTCCCACAGTTGATTGTTGCAATCGTGTTTACCCGTATCGCTATTTTATGCAGCAAAATACAATACTTAACTCATGGCACAGTTTCAGATAAGTTTCTCTTCAAAAATATGTAAATGAACCTCGGACATCATACTAGACGTAATCAAATTAATATATTGAATGTAAAACAGATATTGTCTATAGTGACTTCAGAGTTTGTAACCGTAAGTGAAAGTTATGAAGACTTTATCACAGTTTTTCAGGTTTATAATTTCTATACGTTATGTGTGTGAGCAGAGATTCAATAAAATTTCGTTTTGCTTTCAATGAAACTTAACTACGAAGCCTGATATATATAATCCTACTATAGTCACCTTTAAATAGCCTTATTACTTGATTGTGGGAAGTAGCCTTGATCCTTGAACCAATTCGAAAGTGAGTTTATCAGTACTTTTTAAATTAATGGGTATAAAGTTTCGTAATTTTTTGCCTTTAAATGCTTTTTAAAAAACAGATAATTTACTAGCACTGAATAGTTGTTGACAGTGGAATCTAGAAAAAATGTTTCATCCTTGGTGAAGCTCACTTGCTGAATGCACATTCATCCCTGCATGGATAATAACAGTGGGATCCAAATCTAGTAACTCGATTACAAAGCCTATGGCTTGTCCACTGAGCTACTGAACCGAAACTGCCATTAGCTAGTGAGACAGGTATGAATTTTACTTCTGAAAGTCTGCATTTTCACATTATTGCTGTTATAGACTGCAACTGGCAGTCTCTGTTGGTATATTTACTAACCGCTATCCAACTTAACCATAAATTTTTAGTTAGTCTTGATATACAAATATTTTACTGTTTATAAAATAAAACAACAAATTTTACTTTAAATGTTTATTGACTTGTGCATAACTGTTGAGTAACAGACACTGAAGTTGAAACATACAGTGCGAATTACACTGTAAAACATTTTCGTCCATATATATAGTTTTAGTACCATATCACGTTTCATAATTTGAAACGAAAGTTAGTGTATGTTTCATAAATTTTATTACTTACTTACGGCTGTTACTCTTCGTGGAGTAGCATAGGTCGCCCACCAGTACTCTCCATCGCACCCTGTCCTGGGCAATCCTTTCCAGATGTAATTCATCTTTTTCATATCTGTTGAAGTCTTCATAATCTAGTCAACCATCAGAAGGAAGAGGAAGGGAGAGATTAGACACCCTTGTGACCCCGGTTCATACTTGGAATGCAACTGTCAGCTGTCTTCCATGCACGACTTTGCACTGTAATCCGTCGTATGGGTTCTGGATAAAGTTGACAATCTTCTCAGGAACTCCATAATGTTCTCCTGTCAGCATTATAAAACGCCTCATAGTCAATGAAGTTGACGTATAGTGACTAGTTCGACTCAACTGATTGTTCGACGATGATCAGTAGTGTCGCAATTCGGTCCGTGGACGATCAATCCTTACTGAATTCAGCCTGTTGATCCCGAAGTTGGGCGTCTACTGCGTCTTTCATCCTCTGCAGCAACACTCTGTTGAAAACTATTCCTGATATTGATAGTAGTGTAATGCCTCTGTAGTTCTCGCATTCTCTCAGGTCTCCTTCCTTTGATATCTTGATGGGGTGTCCTTCTTTCCAGTCCATCGGCACTTGTCCCTCCATCCTAAATTTTTTTGAATAGAATGTGAAGCATGTTTGTAGTTTCTTTAATATCTGACTTCAGTGTTTTAGCTGGCATATTTTCAGGTCCTGTTGCTTTCCCACTCTTGATTTATCCGATGGACATCTTGATTTCTTCGGTCTTTGATAGACTGACATCTATAAGAAGATCTCTGTATGCTGCTTCGATGTCCAGTGAATTCAAATGAGCTGGTCTATTCAACAGTTCCTCAAAGTATTTTGCCCATCTGTTTCTCAGTTCTTGAATCACCGTGATTAAACTGAACAAATTAATATGACTGGTGTGGAAGCGAAGAAACAATCAAGTTTGAGACAAGTGATTGACATTTTGCAAATGAAGTATTTACTGCATGAGTCTCAGATTTTACCAAGACATTCTGTAATGTTGTATTCCAATGCATTTGGTTGTCCCCACTAGTTTTCTCGTTCACTACAAGAGAATTAGCATTGGATTGTCATAAAGTAAAGTGTTATATCACTTTATAAGATAACTTAGTTTCATCCTCACTAGAAAAAATATTCAAAGATTATGAGTAATTTTAGTTATATTTATTATCGTTGATATCCACATATTTCACACGCTTACTCTTATGTGTCCATTGTCCATAGTAGTATTTTATTTGCACAGAAAATTAATGAATTTTCATGATTCACACACCTAGTTATAATACAAGCATTTTAACTAATGACAAAAAGAATCGCTTGGATATATGTTTTATTTGTAACTACATTGACATAAAGGATATCCATATACTGTACCCATTTATTCCTAGAAAAAGAAGATCATAATCCAGCCGTTTGTGTTTACAATGTTGAATATTTTGAAAGAAGCCATTTGTCAACAGATAAATATCCTAGCAATGAGTATCTGATTAAATGTAACCGCAGCCAACATCATAAATTGTGGATACATTTCGCAAAGTAGATAGCAAACGACTCCTCATTTGGCTTAATGAACCAACCTTAAAAATAGATTAAATTAATAAAATTTGATTATCATTTGTTGAAATAACGCTTGAATGAGGAATAACTAAGCACAAAATTTCGAAATAAAACGACACAATGATGTGGAAATCACTATCATTAAGGCTAAAACTTTGTGATATATATGACATCAGTAGAAAAAAGCCAATGCTGCAATAGGATGATACAGTATGAGCAGTTACTGGATCACATAGAATTAGCACAATTTATAAATACTATCTCACTGAAACTGTTGTAAACAAATTGCGCTGTCGACTTTATTGAAACAATGACTTGGTAGTTCTTATTTTAAAATAATTTACAAACTGCATAAAGTAATATATTACGACCAATGCATAGATGAAAGAACGTTCAAATACACAGAAAGTCCTCAGAGTCCGCTCTCCCTCTCGAAATGCTCTCACATGGCCACGCGTATATAGCCTCTACCAGGGAAGGCCTACTCACTGCCTTCTCGTACCGCGGGTGTTGTTTACGAAGTTGAGAGGACAAAACGCGAATGCCGGACGCTTTAACCGGGTTGGTGGACACGGAGAGTCAACCTAGGGGAGTTGGAAAACCCTGATTCCAAACCAATGGTGCACACGGGTTCCAGAATCCTGAGGGAACAAATGGCGTATGAACCAATCGTTGGTCACTGGCTACCATGGGACTGCATCTCCTCACGATGCTCCACTGTTTTGTGGATCAGACCTTCAGGTTGAAGGCTCGGGGAGTGGCCCCCTAAGAAAACCATCTGTTTCGGTTCGGGCACCCGGGCAGTATCACAGCCCTCGCACAAATCAAATGAGATTTGTGTGGCGCATATGTATTTGGTGCCTCCTTGTACCAATA